ATATATTAATGAGATTATACTAAATTTTAGTAAGTTTATTATATTTTTAGTACGGATTAAATATTATGCGACAGTTATATTATTATATATATATAATGGGTTAAAAACTTAATGCAATTTTTATTTTTTATAAAATAAAACCGATTATTATGGGTGATTTGAAGTTATCATAAATTATTATTGTTCTAATTATATAACAACACGAAGAAATAACTTTATCATTATTTAATGGTTTTATTTTCAACTTTCATTCATATATATATATATATATAATATATCATATTTATAGATCAGGGCCCTACTCTAATTTGCCCATTAAACAGAACATAAACTTCTTGTATGTTTAACCATACAAGTAATTAATGGATAATTATTATCTTGAAAGTAAAAAAAAAAAAAAAAAAATAGGAAAAAAAATTCTAACATTAACCAGGAGAGCTCCATCATTATCAAGATGCTTCTGCAACATCCTCCTTCGTTGGTACATTCGAACCCAACTAAATAACACTGCACCAGAGACTCCAAAAACAGTCCCAATTTAATTAAAGGTGAAATTGTATTATAATCGTATATAATATATGTATAAATCTCTTACTTTTTGGCTTCAAAGGCTAATCTCCTTTCCTTCTCCAAGCGATGAAAGAGAGTTCCATCATAGGCTGCTTTAATGGTTTCTCTATGCAACAATCCATGCATGTCCTTGCAAAGATAGTATAACATTTTCCATTCTGCAAAGCTAGCTACCCTGTAATTAATTAATATTAATTAACTAACTATAATTTTACTGGGAAATTTAACAAAGAAAAAAAAGAAAACTAACCATCCTTTAAAGTCATTGGATTCTCTGTTAGCCCTCAGCATTGTCATTAATTCATCAGATGTTAGAGCTCCGTGATGGGTTCGAGCATGTTTGGTAAAAATTTCTTCAAATTTTTCTGGAACAAATCTGCAACAAATATTTTAATTATGTTAAATCAAAACTCTTAAAACTTAAAAAATTGGATTAATATATGTTTTAATATATTATACCTCCCTTCACTATCATAGATGCCCGAGTCACTTCCATGTTTACCCATGTGAACGTTCTTTACCTCTATTGGAAAAAGTGGTGAAAAATATTTCCCCTGCATGCAACATATTAACATGTCAAAATAATTATAGTTTTCAGAATAAATCATTCTTATTTAAAACTCCATTGATTACTTCTCCAATTTTAGTGGGAAACGTGGTAGTAGTAAAAGGAAAGAGAATAGGAGAGGAATGGAGAATTACAGGACGAGTTTTCCCACTAAGTCCCACATTGATGAAAATAGAAGCAATTGTTGATAAGAACATTCCACAACCAATTGCACGAAATCCTGATATAATTAAAAAAAAAATCCCAAATTAACTCTAATTACCTATTAAAATGTTAATTAAGAGATTAATTTTTATGAACATAAAAAAAAAAAAAAAAAAAAAAAGTTGATCGAGAAAAAAAAAAAAAAACCATCAAAGGTCTCCCATGGATAGATGATGCCGTCATGATTTCTGTCGAAAAATGCAACGTGCTTTTGCAGAAGGTTTTGATCATCGAAAGTTATGGACTTGTCATCCTCAGCTTCAGCCATATTATGCATGTTTTAGTAGATTCACAGTAAACATACATACATGCATACAGAAAACTATAATGTGTGTGTGTGTATATATATATATGTATATAAGACACGGTATATATGTATACCTTGTTTGGTATTGTTTGGTGATGTCAAAGCAGAGACAGCCATTATACTGGGAGGTTAAAATCAAACTGTGATAAAGGAAATAGAAAGAAGAATATACAACTGCAAGAGAAACTGGGTATTGTGGAATATACACACACACACACACACACACATATATATATATATATGTATATATAAATAGCGTTGTTCATTATATACAAACTGGGATGGCGTGTATTGACAAATTGGCTTTGTCCCTACCGACCTTCGTATGTATATACTTTAAGTATCAAATTACCCATATTACACTCTTACCTTCGCTCTCTCTTGTTTCTTCTCTAAAAATTTCTAACATTCTCTTCACCTCAACACAATTAAACAAAATTTAACTTGAAATTACCAATAGTAATTTCACTAGTTTTATTATAAATTTATAAATTAACATTACCGAGTAAAAGGAAATTATTAGGGAAAAATTCAGCAGCATCATGTATTTATGGTAACTTTTTACATAGTTACCACCTTTTTTTTTTTCTGGTCATGTAAATAATAATTAAAGAGAAAACCTGAGTAATGTAAAATCAATAATTGGTGAGATAGTGATAAATATATATACAAATTGTTATTGAGTGAAAAATGTAATGTTGGATATAATAGGGAGTGGTGTACAAGGACAACTATTTGCAGCTTCCCAGAAATTTCTATTTCTAGCATTTTTTTTTTTTTACTCTCATATAAATTTACTTCTTATTTTTTTTATTTTTTTATATGGGAGGTGGAGGAGGTATAACTCAAACTCTGAGTATACAAATATCAGATCATCTGAATTAGATAATCATAATCAAATTTTCTAAATTAATTTACAGATTGTGAGACGTTAAAATTTTTTATACAAAGTAATTATCATGTATCACTCAGCTATTTTCTATCATTATGTATGAACTTTTTTATTAGAATATTAAAATATATTTAGAATATTAAATATTAATTTAATAAGTGGTAAAGGTTAATTTATTATTAAATATTATTTTAAAAAAATAAAAAATTATGTCCAGTTTAATCTGAAATAAAAAATTAAGTCACATCATGAATCTATATTAAACTGAATTTATGTTTGATTCAATTCATTCTTTTCATCCAGATCAGACTATAAAACCCCTTAAAAGCATTCCATAAATCTATCAAATAGATTTAATTTACAACAACTTAAACTCTTTAAGTTTAAACATGATATTCCCACTTGAGCTGAAGAATTAATGGTGGAGAGCTTTTGTTTGGTTATCAGATAGAAAGTTACATGCAGTTTCTTGTAGGGATTCCCTTATTTAGTCTTTGTGATGAAGACAAATATTTCAGTTTCAAAAAGTGATACAAGTGAAAGAATTATTTGAGTTAAATGAGAAAGAAAATAATTTCAATATGCAATGAAGTGATGGATAATTCATGTTATTTTTCTTATCAATCATCCTTTGAGTAAATTAATAGAGATTTTAGCAAGTGATTAATACTAATCCTACACGATAATCACTTACATTCCTTGAACTTAATTTATTTGATCTTGACAACTACTTAAGTACATGAGCAATAATTTCCAAAGTAATAATGATAACTTTCCGGATAGGTTGGATAAGTCTATAATAATTTTCATCTTGGTTGAAGGAATTTCCTCATTATTATCTTCACTACTAGATTGGGAATAGACCATGCCCTTATCCTTTAACCAAAGATGGATACAAATCACCATTCATAATGTAACACCTTGAATTTAATTTATAATATTCAAATTAATATATATAATTTAAATTTTATTTTTTTAATTATTATTTAATGTAAAAATAGAAAAAATTAAATGGAGAATGAAATTGAAAACAATTTTGAGAAAAATGGATGAAAATTTGGGTTGTAAGGGTATTTTTGAAAGAAAATTCAGAAACTGATGGTTAAAACATAATTTAAAAAAATTGTACCACGCAGGACGCCCATTCAGCAATCCCGACGAACCAGAATGCGCCGCGTGGTAAGGGACGCCAATATAAGAGGCCATGCTGGCAATCCACGTGCCCGCGATCGGACGGTCCAGATTCGTTCCCGCGCGCACGGACGATCTAGATTCGTTCCCTTCCCAGACACGATCGAACGGTTAGACTTAAACACGATGAATGGTCTAGATCAAATCGCAATGAATGGTCCAGATTCACTTCCTGTTTTGTCGTGATCGGACGGTTCAGATCAAACGCGATGGACGGCTTAGATTAAAAGGAGAGATATATAAATAATCCTCTTCACACCAAAACCTAACCCTAGCCACCAAACACCCTACTGGAGAAGAAGAGCCGCCTGGAAGGAAGCCGCCCGCCGCCCCCCGCCGTGCCGAAGCCACATCTGACTGTCAAAAGAGGTAAAATTTTCTCTTTTACTCAAAATTCAATTTTAAACACCCTCATGGCCAAATCGGAGCAAAAGGACCGGCAAATTGGGCGAAAACCGTGGGCAAATCTCAACAGCACTGCCGCAAAAAAATACAAAAAAGCCTCCGATGAGGCCCTTCTCGATTCCTGTTATGTGTAATTCTTCCATCATTGTAATCATCATTTCCTTCTCTATAGGTTGACGGAAGCAAAACACTCAAGCACGAAAGTGAGCCGGTAGAGCCGCTGCATCAGAGAACCCCACCGCTGGTAAGTTTTGGTTTTTCGACTTTTTTGGGCCAACGAGGCCCCTTAACGTATTTTCTCGCAGGGATTGATACAAAACCGGCTGAATTCAGCTGGAAACGGCCAAAAATAGCTGACCCAAGGCAAACCGCCGCCACGGGCTGCAGTACCATCACCGGAGCATGGCGGCTCTTCTAAAATTGGTCAAAAAGAGGTCCTAACACTTATTTTGAGTTTTTTGGTACACGAAGCGCGTTTTAATCCTCGAAGAAAAATTCAGGGAACCCAAGGACCGCTAGTAAGTGCAGTCAAAAGTTTAGCATTTCGAATATCAATTTGAGCAAAAATTCTTCACCTTATTCTCTGTTATGAAATTGAAATCTAATTAATAATAATACGGTATCTTGTATAATTTAGAAAATATTCATAACTAATTACAGGTTACTAATGGAGACAGAACCAAAAGTTATTCACTGTTGGCCATGTTGATTAATTTTATAGTTTGAATGCATGATAATACCTGATTGATTGATTTTATAGTTTTGAATGCATGTATTGCTTGCCTTATGTGATTACAGTTAAATTAGAAAACTGGGATGTGATTGTATTCCTTTGATGCATGTTTTGTTTATTTTATGTTATTACAGTTGAATTGGAAAACGAAAGATTAAAGGTAAACAAAAAATTATTTGATTAAGTGAATGGATGAAATGACAACCTTACTGGATATTCCTAGAGATGGTGGACGGACCAGGTACATAGGGAACCCTACCATGAATGTTGCCTCATACCAGACGGGGTATCGAGATTTGGTAATTTGGCACTCATACCGGATGGAGTATGTGGACGACCCGTTTCACCCTTATACCAAACGAGATATTGAGGTTTGGTAATTTGGCACTCATACCCGACGGGGTATAGGAACGGCCCGTTAACTGAAAATATTAAAGAAAATGGTTCACGCGTAGTGAGAATATCCCTATGGACCCCTATGGATACCAGCGGACTGATAAAAGAGAAAATTGTTGTTCCAACTGATTGCATATGAAATTATGATATGTGTTATATTATTGTCTCTATAGGTTGTTTTTGTAAATCTCGCTATGATAAGTAGACGGTAAATAATTTTATTTATGATAAATGAATTTAGTTAATTAAGAGCTCCATTAGTTGTTTTTATGATTTTTACCAACCTTCATTTTTGTGTCAGTGAGTAGCGTGATATTCTTACTTGCCTAGTGTAACTCACTCTTTTATTAATTATTTCAGATCAAGAGGACCAAGATCCAGAGCCCGATCCACAAAAGGGTTGCGAGTAGGATATTCAGTTATTTATCTTTAATTTATTTCTTTGGTTATTAGTTGTTCTTTTGAAAATGTTATACCCGTAAGCCCTATTTGGTACTTTTAGTTATTGTGTAAGGAATGTAAACCTTAACTATTTATTTTGCTTTCGCACTAAATTTATAACTGATCTCTATTTGGAATTTTTGGGATTGTTACAGTTGGTATTAGAGCCAGGTTCCTCAGAACCATTCCTTACACAAAATCCTTAGGAAACACCAAAAACAATGAATAATCACTCAACCGTTCATTGTGAAATGCAGGTACATATAGATGAGGAGATGATGACCCCCACTGAATCGAGCAGCCTAGGAGGGTTCGCTTCGAGAGGATGTTGACCAATTATTTGAGATGCTGGAGAGACTCATCGCTGCCTAGTAGGCTTGGGAGGAAAAGAGAGAGCTACATGACCCTCCCCCACTGCCACAGGTTGAGCCACCCCGGTATGACCCTGCTCCCCCACAGTACCACTCGGCACCACCACAGTATGATCTGGTGCCCCAGCTATAGTACTATCCAGCACCACCACAGTATGGCCCGGTGCCCCAACTGCATCATCCGGCACCACCACATTATAATTTGGTGCCTCCACCGTATTATCCAATACCACCGCAGGGCCATCCAGTCCATCCTCAACACAGTTCAGTCCCACTTCCACGGGACCCAGTTCCTCCCATAATGGACCCAAGATACATCTAGAGGTATAAAAGATTAAACTCATATATTTTTGTAGGAGAATCATCCTTTAAAAAGACCTAGTACTGGTTAGCTGAGACAAAGAAAGCCTTCACGATTCTTAGAGTGATTCCCGAATGGAGAGTCATCCTTGCTACCTACATGCTGGTAGGAGAGGCAAGCCGTTGGTGGTAAGTCAAGCAAGCCACCCTCCCTATTCCAGTCACTTAGGAATAATTTCTGACGACCTTTCATGGAGAGTACCTTCCAGAGCATCTCCGACATCTGAAGGAGATGGAGTTTGCACACTTGGTTCAGGGAGATATGATTGTATCAGAATATGCTCAAAGGTTCTTAAAGTTAGGTCGATATTCTCCTGAGAGCATGATGGGTGAAGGCAAGAAGGCAAGAAAGTTCGAGTGGGGTCTCCGTCCTGAGATCAGACATTAGTTGTATATGTTCAAGCTCAGTACTTACTCGGCTGTTCTGG